TTTTGTTACAACAATAACATTATTATGTTCTGCAAGAGTTGAGAGAGAATGTTATTAACATTTGGTAAGCACTCAGCACATTATGTTGTTTAACAGCAGCATTAAATCGGTATAATTGCACATAAATACGCACAGTGTTTTGGTGGAAAATAATTATTTTCCTAATTTTGGAACAAATGCTATGAAATATATACAAATACTTTTCAATTTTTGTAGCTTAAAATATGAAACTATGAAAAAAATGTGAACTAATAAATGTTCTGAAAAATAACATTTTACATTTAATAATTAAAAAATAATTTATGACAGGATCTTAACAAAAATGGCACCTTTTCAAAAATGGTATATTATATTTTCAATGTCTTAAATTGCGGCAATCTTTGAGTTCTAAGCAAATATTTTGAAGACTTTCAAAACCAAAATTGTGGATTTTTTAGGCAATTTTCCAATGACCTAGATCTGATAATTTTTAACGAATATTTACTTATGACTTTGGAACACAATTTGGGGATTTCAAAGGAATATCCTACCTTATACAGTTTTTAGCAATTATTTTTGCAAGAACTTTTAAAGGTAGGGTCGTGTTTTATGAATACTTTATCAACGATTTTTGGAGCTAATATATAAAAAATATATATATATATTTGCAAAAACTTTCAGGGGTACAATCTTATATTTTTAAAAAGATTTTTTTTCAAAAAAAATTTTGAGAAAAAGCCAAGAATTTTAAACAAGGACCTTCAGAGCTAACTTAATGAATTTCTTCAAAGTTTTTGAAGCACCAGCAATGGAACAATCATGGATCTTCAAGGTATTTTATAGCTATAGTTGCGAAGGTTTTAAGAGTTGCTCCTCGGTTTTAGGAGTCAGGCCTAATCCCATTGTTATTTATTTATTTTTTTATTAGTACAACATTTGTATATTGGTGGAAAAATTACAATGTTTACCGATAGGTAAGGTAGAAAATACCACTCGTTTCGGAAAATGACACACATCCATATCAGCTTCCTTGCGTTTTTTATGAAATGTTCTCCCAAGAATGATTTAATTTGGGTTTTTTTTTCGGAATGATAAACTTAATGTAGAGGCTATTAATTTCAGTATAATTAACTAAAATGTAATTTACTTAACTACCATGAAAAAGGTCTACGTTAAAATTTTGGATTTGTTCCACCAATTCGTGTTAGGCATTTTTAGTACTCAAAATGCACAATTTCTTCAGTCTGACAACATTTTTATTCAAAACTTCATATATCGAAATACATTTTCAGACTTTCAAGGTTTTATATGTTATTCAAGTTTTTATTTTACGGAAAGAATTATACTAAAATTTTATACCCAAAAAGTCGTCAAAATCTATGAATTTTACGCCGGATGATATTAGAAAAACCTATGTACAATGAATACATATCCAATTTTTTATGTCCAAAAATATTTCAACATCTTCAAATGTATCAATTCACCTTATACCAAATTTAGTAGGTATATCCAAACCAATCTACTGTACTTTTCGTACATTTATAGGACGCATTTCAAAAAACATCTTCATATCCCAACCGCAGACAAAAACAATGAGATCTATGTCAAATTCTAGGATTTCAGCTCTATCCCTTCACCCAGAAGAAAGTTCGGTACTCTTTAGTACTTTTCGTACGATTATAACAAACCACTTCCATCTCTCAATTACAGATACCAACAGAGACCTCAAAATTAAATTTGAGGGTTTCAGTCCATCACCAAATACCAAATTTAGTACATTTTGGTATTTTTCTTACAAAAATAGGAGATACCAACAATAACCTCAATATCAAATTTGAGGTGTCCATTACTATTCCTTTAACCAATACCAAATTTAGTAATAATTAGTTCTTTTCGTGTAACTTTAGTACTCTTTTGCAGAATTATTATATGTCTCAATCCTAAAGAACACCAGCTATCGCTACATAATTTATACTAAATTTAGTACTGTTAAGTACTTAACGTACAAGAATAGTACGCATTTCCAAAACCATATCCATATCTCAATACTAGATACCAACAATTATCTCAGTATAAAATTTCACGTTTGCAGCGCTATCCCTTCACCCAATTCCAAATTTGGTACTTTTTGTAGAATTATAGTACACATTTCCAAAACCATACCCACATCTCAATTCCACATACCATTAGAAATCTAAATATAAAACTTCTGGATTTCAGCTTAATTTTTTTTTCACCCGATACCAAATTTAGTACCATTTAGTATTTATCGTTCAAATATAGAACGCATTTCCAAACACAGATAACATCTGTAATCTAAACATCCAATTTTGGAATTTTATATCTCTTCCTTTCACCCAATATCAAAAAATAATACCATTCAGTACTTTTCGTAATATTATAGTACACATTTTCGAAAGCACCTCCATATGTCCGGGCTACACATGAACAGCGACACTAATGCAAAATTTCAAACTGCAAGCACTATCTGTTCCCTTCAATACCAAATTGTACCAATGAAGTACTATTTAGTATTTTTCGTGCAATTGTAGTACACATTTTCAAACCCGCCTCTTTGTCACAAACCTGCCACCAACAGGAATCCCAGTACAAATTTTCAACATTTCAGCATCATCCGTTCACCCTTAACCAAACTTTTCTAAATGTAGTACCATTTCGTGCAGTTCGTACACTTAGTACACTCTTCCAAAAACTTCTTCATATATCAAACATACTTTCCAACCTTGATTCTCATCATTTTAAGTTTTTTGCTCTATAATAACACAAAGTGGTACTATTTTAGAAGTTAAGTTCCCTCGTAGAACTTTTCGTTCCCGTTTAGTACGAATTTCAAAAACCCTTTTGGTACATCTATTCTGAACACTTTCAGTGACTCTCATTCAATATTAGAGAATTTTGGCTCATTCCGTTTGTCCAATACAAAGTAGTCAATTTTTAGTACATTTTAGTACTTGTCGTACTCTATTAGTATAAATTTCCAAATACCCAATCTTTAAGTTCGAATTTCCAAAAGCGATGAATCCTCAGTCCACCAGGGACTTTCATTTCAAATTTAAGAATTTCAGCTCATCCCTCTTCTCCAATACAAAGCATTACATTTTTAGTACATTTTACTATTTTTCGTACCCTTTCAGTACGAATTTTCAAAAATCCAAACTTATCACGCCAAGTCAGATTTTCGCCTAATATTTCAAGATTTTATCTGTAGCTGTTAGGTCAGGGCGTTGATTTTCGGCCAGTCAGTCAGTTATTTCATTACTCTTTTGCATATATACTTCATATTATTTGAATGTTTTGAAGTGTGGATATGTTTGAAAACAAGTCTGAGCCACTGTATAATATATGCATATAATTAGCTTGATTAAAATTGCCCAAGTTCGCTTTGGACATGTTTGAGTTGCCATGTTCTATGTGCATCATACACTTCCATCTCCCTCCTAGCAAACGACATTGATTAACTCCTTCTGTTAATGTTTGGCGATACACTTAATTTACTGCTATTAACAGTTTCATTAGCATAGTTTGTAATTGTGTGTGTGTGTGTGTCGTGTGTATAACAGTAATATTTCCCCTTTGGCAAACCAACTGAACAAAAATGTAAACATTTGCTTCATTGATGCAGATGCTGGAGTGTGGTTCACTGCCAAATGTTAAGTACAGAGTTTTAATTGTAATTTAAAATAGTCGCTCTCTCACTCTCTCTCTCTCTCTCTGTCGATATCGTGCTCTCTGTGTAAAAGTGTGGTTTTTTTGTTATTATTACGATTCTATGCTGCCGACAGAATGAATGGGTGAGACAATAATTAGAAATGTGTGATGTTGTGTGTTGGTTTGTGCATCATACCTACTTAGCAATCGTCATAAGAAATTGATTTTCATTAGTTTGGTCGTCGTCGTTTTTTTTTTTTTTTATCGTGTGTTTGGTTAGTCGCTCGGTCGGTTGTATCGGTCTTAGCTATCATACACATCATTTGTGTGTTCGTTTATTTTGTTCTGAGTTTGGAACATTGTTGTGTGTTTTGTCGTCTTGGTCTAACAGTCGGCGTTTTTACTCCTCTCTGTGAGCACAAGTGAGCGTGTGACTGTGTGTGAGTGCTTGTGTTCGTTCGCCTGCTTGTGTTTTGTTTTTCTTTAGTAGTTTTTTTTCGTGGTTGTTGATTTAAATTTTTTCGAATTGCGCGCCCTTAGTCATTGACTAAACGTTCAACAGCGAACAAGCGTGAGCGGCAATTTAATTAATAATCAAAATAATAGGAGAATAATAATAAAAGAATTACCAAAAAAATAAATGCAACAAAAAACACAAATAATTATTTAAAGCAAATAATAAAAAATAAATTTATAAAAAATGAATTTTTGAAAAAAAATTATTTGAATAAAAAAATAAGAGTGTTGAAAAAAATTCCTAAAAATTGAAATAAATCTACCAAAACAATTTTGAAAAAAAAACAACGTAATCGAAAAAAATCCAAAAGTGTTAATTTATAAACAAATATTTTTTAAAGTGTTTTGCTACCTACCCATCCATGTCTTACTCAAATTTTGGATTATTTGTTTTGTTTTGATTTATTTTTTTTTTTGACATTTTCATTTAAACGCTGATTTCTTCGTTAAATGACAAATAAACAACAATAACAAAAAAGTGTAATATGCCAAATCATATGATATTATCATTACACTCCTTCCACTCTTTCTTAACCGTCATCATCATCATCATCGGCACCCTTGGTCCATTCATCTACGCCTCCACCCATCCGCTGGTGTTTCGTTAAGAATAATAATAAATACTAAACAAAAGCAGCATACAAATAAAAACAACAAGAATTCTGAACTTGTGACAGTTATAACTTATCCCAAAAAAAAAGCCACACTTCATAACGAAAAACGCCGCTAAAACAAAACACACACACTTTACCGAAAAAAGTGTTAAAAATATTTTAATTATTTTGTAAAAAAATAAAGTGAAAATTTGTGACAATTTCTTATCTTTTGACGAAAAAAAAAAATATATTTTAATTTGAAAAACATAAAAAACGGATTTCTAAAAATAAAATAAAAAAAAGGCTCCTTCCTTGGGATTATAAACAACAATTTTGGCTGGATCCATCACCAAAGGCACTGCTGCCTTTATTATAACGGATTATCGCATTGTCACAACAAATCAAAATGGTAAATATTGAAATAAAAATTGTAAATAGCTAATTTTTGGAGAGAGAAAAAATTATAAAAAATTAAGAAATGCCGCTGGCTGAATGCTTTCCTTTTTTCGAAGCAGGTCTCGACAGTTTCTAGTTCCGCAAACCATTTTATTCCCTATGGGCAATACAAAGGGAATGTTTTGCCATTTCATTTCCCTAACCCGTTGTCAAATAGCCTCTAGGCATTGCAAGGATTCATAATTATCTAATTTTGAGACCAATGAAAGGACTCTTGATAATGAAAATAAAATAATAGCCACATTTTTAGCCTTACTGGATCGGATCGCATTGTAAATGGAATTTTGAGTTTAATATGGAGCTAGAAAGGGTCCTTTATGCATCCTTTAAAAATAAACGGGGGTACGGACCTCGAATTTTTAAGCTTCTTTAAAAATTTACCGAAGTTGAAAGGTTTTAGACCTATAAGTTTTGTTACAGCTGTGTGAGACTACTGAAACCCCTCTAATTTTAATTTCTTATTTGTGTCTCCAATAATAATTAACGGCGGGATGAGACTCTATATAAAAACCGTACAAATTTTTATTTTTTTAATTCTCCGCGGAAGCTGTAAGGGTTAACTTTAACCTCTTATGAGACAATTGACATACCTCCTCTTTTTAATGGTAATTTTCTAACCGATCCAGCTGTAATAGGGAATTTTGGATTAAAAGGAATTTTACAATGTCCTTTTTGGCATCCTTTAATAATTTGCGACGATATGAGTCTCTACATGGGTAAACTGCTTTCAATCTTTAAAGACCTTAATACCTCTTTAAAAATCTAAGAGACCTACCTTATTTAACGATCGAAAGCAGCAGAAAGGGATTATCGAATGCCATTATCTCTTCAGGAGACATTTAAAAGTCCTCTCGAAGATAAAAGTGCCAACATTTTCTAACTAAACCGGAATTCCACATTCGGTTCTTGAAAAGTTAGAACCACCTTCTTTTTGCATTCGTTTATTATAAACGGCGGTATGAGCCTCTAGATTTTAAGATATTTGAGGCTCGAAAAAGATTGAGCCCCGGTATATATATACCTCACTGAGTTATTTCCTTCGCTCTATCCATAGATTATTAATTAGGTTTCTATTCAAACCCCCTTTTCAATGGGCTGAGGGCAGTCCAAATTTTCCCAACTTTATTTTTTTATTTTCAAAGCTCAGAGACAGTAATTCATTCCATTTTGTTGAGTTGTTCAATTTTTTTTGCTCTTTTTATTGGACTAGTTATAATGGAGTTTAACTGGGGTCTACAGGGTTCCATTCGAAATATCCTCCGACATTCTTCTCCTTTAAACCTTTGAAGTAATGGAAATTTAAGTCAATCTTTGAAGAATATTTTATTAGCTCTTTTTATCCGTGAACTAGTTCATTCATCCAAATTAGGTGGTTAATATTTCATAGGGTTAAAGGATATTCAAAATTTCCTTTTTTTCCTTATCTTCATAACACTTGAAAGCGCAGTTGAAGCATCCTGAGATGTAATTCTTATTTCATTTTTTTTATCCCATGGTAATTTATGTTTATCTTTGAAGAGTGCCTCTATTAGTTCTCTTTTTTCAGTGAACTAGTTCCTTCTTATAATTTAAGATATCCAAAATTTTGCATCTTCTGATTAATCTCCAGATATCCGAGACAGAACTCTAGGTACATCTTAAAAGTGGTTCATTTTTTTCAGCTCTTCTTATTGAACTAGTTGTTATAGGGCTCCATCAGAGTAGAAAATTGAAAGTTTTTATCTCTCTTTGAAGTGGAAACCTATTAGTTCTCATTTCAGTGAACTAGTTCGTTTTTGCTTTTTTTGTTGTGTCATGGTTTAATTCAATAATTCCATATTTTATTTAATTAAAAAAAAAACAGAAACAGAAATCCATTCCATTTTGAAGAGTTGTTCAACTATTTGCTCATTTCATTGAACCAGTTATAGGACTTACTGGAGTTGAAACCTATCTTTATAACACTTTAAATCCAATTTGAAGTATCCAAAAAGTCCTTTTTTATCTCATTTTTACTCCTCGACAGTTCAAAGTTCATCTTTGAAGAATTCTACCGTTGTTTGTCATTAAAGTGAACCAGCTCGTTCTCACAGTTAAGTTGAATTTAGTTATTCATTGGGTTGAAGGCAGTTTAGGATTAGTCTCTTCTATTCCATTGAAAAATACAAGTAGTTCTATAAAAACAGCAGAAATAAACGAATACTTCTATTATTTTATGTTAACATGGGTCTTAACAGTGAACTAGTTCGTTTTATAGGTTAGTTCATTATTGGATTTAATATCTTTTAGAAATCGTGGAATTTTAAAGAATGTTTTTGAGTTTAGTGACCGTTTTGGTTAGTTATTGAACCTATGGAGTTTTCCCAGTTCAATCTATTATGGATTCTGATGGGGGTAAAAATAAGTAAATAAAATATAATAAAATTTGAAGGCAGTTGCATTAAATGAATTCAATGTGTTATTCTCCTTCCTATGGTTAAGATTTCCGAATTTATAAAAAAAAACTTATTCTGAAATAATATATGCGCTGCCATCTTCCGGCTTTAAAACAAGAACATTTCTTTCAATCATTTCTTGAGTGAACTAATTTCGTCATAGCTATGTGGATTATGGCTAATCGTTTGAATAATTTATGGGGATATCCTCATATTTCAATCTTAAGTTTCTCATGAGATAGAAAAGAATCCTTCATATTTTCAATACCGACTTATTGTTATTTTCATTTTATGGAACGCATATGTTATTTTAACCTCTTAGTGATCTAGTTCATTTTTTTAAATTCCATACATTTCAAGGATGTTATTTGGCTCCTCGGGACTAACCAGTACTGAGATTAATGCTTGGTGAGATATGTTTTCATGCCATGTAATCGCCAATGCATTTGGAATGTTGCTTCTTTCGGTGCAAATATTTTAAATGATTTAGTTCGTTCATTTTGACTACTTTAAGTTTTTAACTACTTATGAACGGTTAGTAACTTAGAGTTCAGCCCCTCTTAATTCTAAAGAAGCGGAGAAACAGAGAGAGAGAGAGAGAAATAAATATATCTTTATCTTCTCCCCAAAAAATCAGATTTGTTCCGATAAACTTTACAAGAGTTAGTTGGAACTAAGTGAACTAGTTCCTTCTTTTAGTTCAATATTTCAATCTCCCGTCACATTTGCATTTGAGTTCAGTTCGTTCCAAAAAGGAGCTCACTAATTTAACTGCCAATTTTGTATGTTCGCTCAATTAATAAATTTATTTATGTTTGTTATTGAAGTTAATGGAACGATTTTGACTGACCCAATTTTAAAGGCACTTTCAATGAATCTATTGACTGAACTAGTTCATTTGTGAACAGAAAATGCTAAGAAACAACTGAAAACTGTGCCTCTTGCCTTTTCTCCGATTGTCATTTCCTCTCAAGTATTTCTCATATCAAGGGCTATGTGTCTTTAAGAAAACCGTCTTACTTTTTGAACAAATTGCGATTTTTGTACCGACGGCATAACAAGCTGCACCCGGCACTATAGGTTATGTTGTGTTACATTTATGATTTTAATTATAATTCCTAAAATAAAAAAAATTAAACTGATCAATTAATGATTCAAAATTATATTTTTTTTGTTTAGAACGGTTAAAAAAATCTCTGGAGAAAAATTGCAACGTGGATTTTCCTCTCATATAAATTAAAATGTTTCTACTTTTTTTTCCAAAAATTCACAACGCAATCCTCCTTGGGAGAGTGCATTGAACTTTAAACTCTCTGCGCGCTCATTTTTTTTAAACCATTGTTTGAAGTTCTATCTAATTTTACATTGCGAACGCAATCATAGATAGATAGCCGAAATCAACCCTTGTCTTTCATTATCTTTACATACCCTCAAATAATGAAGGAAAAGTTTTTGTAATAAAATATTGATTTGATAAATGTATATCACATTTCGACATTCGAATGATAGACAGACATCTGCACGGGGTGAATTAATGTGGATCCGCAAAATCTGTTTCTCGCTTTACACCATGGTTTTTTATGGATGGTGTAATAAAAAGCAAACACACACGCACAAAAACTGTACCAAATTGCTATTTGGTTAGATTATAGGGCCGCATTAATGTGATTTTATGATGCTGCTGCAGCAGCTCTTTGAATCGAGGAAAATATGAAATTCAGGTAGCAAAATTTGTTTTCATTTTGAAATGAGGAAATTAATCATAAATCAGTGTCAAAAACTAAATTTTTGAAAAAATGCATAGTCTTCAAGGATTTGGTCGATTTTTTTGTATTTCAAATGTTGCAGTAATTGAGAAGCAGATTTTTTAGCAATTCCTCTTCTCAGTCCTTTGTAAAAGGGCGTTTTCGATGATTTTTTACAGACATCTAGGGTTCTATTTTTACAACAGAAGAAAACAGAGAAAATTGTGAAATCCTCCAGGACTGTGTCTTTCTTACGTATTCTTTATTATCAACGGCTGAAGGATTGCCAACCTTTTGAGAATTTTTTACTTTACATCTTTGGATGAATTTTATTTTATCTATAGAGTGCTCGGTGACAAGAAATATTTTAGAGCCTACAGCACTGTTTTTTTACAAGATTAATTTTGAAAGTACCCACGATTGTATTTTGCTAAAGACGAAAAAAATGAAATCTGCTTAGGTAATTTTTTTCCTCTAAAAATTGAAGCTACTATTCCATGGATAAAATTCGAAAGAATACTATAGACTCCATTTAGTCTCATTTTGCAGAGCTTCAAAAGCCTTTTTTTTCTAAAGGACTGTATTTTTCAAGAAATTTTCAAATACTTCTGTCTACCAGGACTGTTTTTTTTTCTATAGAAAAATTCGAAACGCCCCCAGGACTCCAAGACTCTATTGAGTCGAAAAAATCGGATGTTCGGGGCTCTATTATTTATAAAAAAACCCAGGACTATAAACATTTTCTTCGAGGATTCAATTTTTAATTTTCAGACCGCAGGACTCTTTTTTTGTCT